GGTAATGCTAATGATTACCGTGAGAGTATTGCCTCATGGTAATGCGGATGACGGCCACTACTGATTCCATGCATCATTACAACGCATGAATGCACCGTAAGTTACCATGAAGTATCCGACACGCTGATGAAGTTTCGTTGATGCGCGACAATAAATTCTAAATCTAAAATCCCAGCAATACCATTTTATGGATAAAAAATACCATTTATGTTCATATATATTATATGTTGTCCCGGCTAAATTATAAATGGCCACCTCATCAAGCCAGGCAGGAACAATGATAAGGAATGTAGTTTAGTCATTCCGGGTTTCCTTATTCTTCTTGTAAAACTGCGGGACAAATACCGCACATCAGAACAAATGAAATAACAAAATTGAAGATTTATACCAAGTATACCAAGTAATTAAAGAACCAATATATCAGTATCGCACAATTCCTGGCTAAAATAAATATGAACGTGGCAACAGATACAATCACTAGTAACTTACGTGGATGGCTTGTGCCCTTGTTTTTAAATTCTAAATTGTGAACGGAATTTAAGCTTACTTTCCTCTGTCAAAAGAAAGAAAACGATTTTACTTCACACTGGAGAACTATAAATTATAAAACAACTACTATAACATGAACAAGACAATATGACAATTATAGAAATTGATCTAAAGATTAATTCAGTGGAAGCTTTCCGCAGAAGCTTAACTTCTAGGGACATCAAAACTGTAATGGATGGCAGGAGGCTGCGACCCCGAATACAGCTCCGCGCCGCACCGTAAGGCTACAAACTAGAAGCATATGTCGCACGCGTACTGGACGCGACATATGTATCATCGATACCATTTAAGCTGGGAAGACATCAAGAGATAGAGGTTGATAATCTGCTGTAAAATATTGATAAAAAAAATATTGATATTGCTGTAAAATATTGATATTGTAAAATATTGAAATATTGATAAATATTGATTGATGACACATTTCATGTATTGTTAAAATAAAAATATTTTAGTAATGATATTCGGGAGCTTTGTGATAAAGTTTCGCTCTTCACTTGTTGATTTTTTTAGCTGCAAGGTAATTCCACCAGTGATGGAACCGAGGTTTGGTATTTGTTAGGTTTTCTTGTCTGGGAAGATAACCGCAATTATTAAAAATTTTCTGCATACATTTTAGTGTTAGAAATAATTACGACAAATTTTTGTGAAAAATTTGACTCACGGTAAAAATTTTGTTAGAAATTCGGACACTAAGGAATTTATGTGTGAGCGGACAGAATTTAAATCGTAGAAACAAACAAGATATTTTGTTTTGCTTGCAATGTTAATATTACTCGCCAGCAATAACAGGAAAATATCAATTACAAGTATGAATTACATGAAGGCGAACTGCTATTAAACCACTTAAAAGCCAAAAATTCAACTCACAAATTTAACCAAATGCCACATATATAAATTTTGAATAATAATTAAAGATTGCTTGAAAACTGAAATAGAAAATCTAAATTCGTCCTTCTTATGTGCAGTGAAATTATTCAAATTCATTATAAATGTGTAACTGACTTTTGCAAGTAATTGACAACTATACATTAATTTTTTCGCTATCCTATCACTTGATAACAATTATTTGTGAATGATTAACTTGATACTTCTTATAGCTCAATCGGGTTCCAAGGCACAATGTCTCGTCATTGTAAACGACATCGTACAGACCCGGTGATCTGTCATGGTAATACAGACCCGGTGATCTGTCATGGTGATACAGACCCGGTGATCTGTTATGGTGATACAGACCCGGTGATCTGTCATGGTGATTACAGTCACACTAAAAGTCCCACGAAATGGCACGCCTCGCCATCTTGGTTTGATGGCTCCACAACGACGATCTTATTGCTGCTGGTGACAGCTCTGCCCGGCATTCTCTGTAAAGGTGAGCGGTTAAGAATTATATTAATGTATAGGTACTAGTGAACAGTATACTTAAATGTTGAGATAATTTGACGGTTCTGTAATGCATTCTCTGTAAAGGTGAGCAATAAGTAATTAGGTATTGATGGATAATTAAGTACCACTAAACTGTATTATCAAATGCTAAGGCAATTTGAATTTTGAGTCAACAAGTTAACACAAACGAAGGTTTCTTGCGCTTTCTTCACTGCATATCAGGCATCTTTCATTTAGAAAATTTATCGTAAAATTCTTTTTGCAACGTTACTTAACATGATAATATATTTACTCACATGTCAGAAGAAAAAAAAACGAGGTTCAAGCTAGATGAACTATACATGCATTTACACGCAACGTTGAGTTTCAAACCCACATACAATAAGTAGACATTCGGTGTTAAATCTTTGTCCAACGATCGGTCCTGCTCAATTTACAATCAAATTTCGAGTGTAAATCCGATTTGTAGCCCCACATTGCCCCCCGGGGGACGAGTGATCAAGGCTCAAGCCGCTCTTTATTGCCGCGGTATCGCTGCAGGTCGCGCAGCTCGGTCATTATCTTTCGGGTTCAGGAGCATTAAACTTGACCATGAGCTTCGGGTCACCAAGCCTAAACCTGCGGCAAAAATACATCACCTTATATCTACTGAACACGAAAATTTTTATACTTTATCAGCTTTATCTACAAAAACAAAATATAAACAATATAAAATAACCAACAGGTTTTGAATGAGTGAGTAATTACGGTGACAATGAGAGAAGGAATAAAAGAGAACAAGAGAAAGAAGTGCAACAGAAGTGCAATTGGTTCTAATAAGATTTGGCCGAGTGAGTCGCACAACTACTCATGAGGTCTATAAATTTAAGTTACGGTTTTGGGGTCATTTGCGCTACATTCTAGACCTGAAATCTTGGTAATTGAGCATCAAGCTATTTATATACAATGACGGGTCAAAAAAACATTCCAAAAAATTTTTGCAACATGAAGTGCTGCGATGTCAATTTTGATTAAAACGACAATTTTTTATTAAACAGTAATGCGATCTGAATTACTTTAGTTATTAGCTTGTATCAAAGTGTTTGTTACAAATTACAGCATTTATTGCCAAACTTTTTGTAATTACATTTGCAGAAAATATATTGACCGAAGACCTTCAATAAAATTTCTGAAAACTGTGTAATAAAAATTTCGCCTGAGCCCAAGGCTTAATTAAAATCATCCAATGTGGGTAATTTTCAGTAGACCATACACATAAATTACATATCATGGCTGGTCCACTCTGCCAAGAAAAAAAGGTTCGATCAAATTTCATTTAAACATTTATTGCTAATTTCATTCTTATTATTAGCGCATTTTCTCATTTATGGAAAAAATGCACTATTGTGCTCGCCATGTCCGTCCGTCCGTCGGTCTGTCTGTCTGTCCGTCTGTCCGTCCGTCTGTCCGTGACCTCAAGTTTTCGTCGACGAGAAAATGCGCTCTCTGTCTCTCACTGCAGTGAGTACTGAGTTATTTCTTTTTTACATATATTTTTTCAAGCTTAGGTAGACTCAACTCACATTGGCTAAAATTCCAATTTTACTGCACTCGATTCTATACATTGTGATTATTTTCTATCAATTCCTTTAAAATTTGAGATTTGAATAATGAAATAAATACAAGTGGTCGCTTAGCTCTCAACTGAGTGAGGCTGCAATTAGATTAAAACTTTCAAATGTCATCGACTCTGCGTCAACGAGGGAGCTGCTTTATTAATTAATTTATTTTTTGTTCAGTTTCTTTGACAGCAGAAATCAGGTGAACTATTGGAAAAGATTGCACGTTTTTGTTGGCCAACCGTCGGCCATTGTTAAAGAAAAAGGCCGTGAAATTCGTCAATGAGGTTGCATAACAGAGAAGGAAATTCAATTCGTACAGCTTCTTCATGTCGCATATTCATTCAGAAATATCGAAACAGAAATTTTTTTATTATATTTCCATGTAGAGATTCTTTGAATCTGCAGTTCATCGCACAATGCGCCAGTAATGAGATAGTTGTCACTTTGATGTTGTATCATAAATTTAAAACACTTACAGTATATGAGCATCGCGTGCTCGCCATTCTTATGTTAAATAATGCTACAGATCTTTTCATTTTACACTTGTACCCCGAATCACAGATAAAATGTTACTATAATATATGCCAGTAATCATATATTTTTGTCGTCACAGGAGAGCCAATACATAAATATTAGCTCGTAGAGCGATATAAAATATAAATATATTATATATCCTGCTATTTGCTCGTTTCTGTTCGTGTTGGTGCAGTTTTTACAGTCGCGTCTTGCGACCAGGAAACGGATCGCTCGAGACAGCGCAATCTCCTTGAGAAGTCTTCACTAAACTCCGGAAATTGTGTTAATAATTCGGACAGCGTCTTCTTGTCCAGCAGACTTTGAGCGTAAATTGGCTGCGTAAATCAGCCAGAAACACGAACCCTTGCAATAAAAAAAGCAGCCTCCGCTTCTCCCGGTGAAGCTCATGCGCCTTAATTTGATTGGGAAATTAAATGAAGATTGATTCAGAATATCGAGTAGTGCTTGAAGGTTTGGCAAAAGATTTTAAGTATCTCCTGAGATATAATCACCCCTCAAAATGCTCACCAGGAAAATAGCGTTGCAAACCAAATTTTTGATTGAAATTTAATCAACGTAACATTTTTTAATTCAACGTTGATTGAACGTCTGATGGTTTAGTTTCATGGCCTCCGTCAACCGATGCGTATATATCAACAATGAGCCTTCATCTCAATTCTGCAAGATCCTTGGTGATTTGGATCAGGATATCCCTAATCAGCAATTTGTTTTTCCCAGATCGAGGAATGAATTAAGCGTTAGCTGATTAAATATCGAGTCATTCAAATTTTATAAGAAGCTCTCTGGTTTCATTTAAATAAGCGAAACGACGTGATGCTATTTCTGAACAGGTCGGTCATCTGAACAGGTAGGAGTTTTTCAAGCGACTTCTTCGACCCAATTGGAGACACTAACTAAACGGAGGCTTTGCAATTGTGTTGCAATCTAATTATAGTTAAATAATTAAAGAATAAAGAAAGCGAGCTTTTAAACCTTTGATAGGTCCAAGTTTGCAGCAAATGGGAAGGTGATCAGGATGGAAAGCATCTATGCTTTTTCGAAAGAAAAAAACGGTGTGATATTTTTTCGTATGAATTGAGTTTAAACATACCTTAGAGATTAAAAATTATGAATTTTATTTCTCTTCACTGAATTTTTTATCAGTCGAGATTATACGGAAATTTTTTTCCTATTATCAACATTTTCGGTTTGATTTTCATTTAAGCGATATCAAAAAATGATTTTGCTGGGTTAAAAAAATTGTGGCATTAGATCAATTTACGGCGTAAAATTGAGTAGATTGGACGCTTTTTTGCCTTTAGAAATTTGTTGTCTTACTTTATGAAATATCAGCAATATTTGTTGAATTGTTTTCATTTCTTTATGCATTGCTATATATTTTGTCTGCAGACACAAGCAAGTCAATATTAGAAGATCTGATTGATATCACGAATACGTTCTATTTTTTCCTTTATGAGTACGTTGCTTCGTACACGCGCGAATGAAACTCGTCATTACACGCTTCACTCTCCAAAATATTGCATGATGATTCCGTTCAAAAACAAATAAATCAAGAGTATATAATATCGTCCAATCTCTTTCTACATATTGAGAAAGCTTTGATAAATAACCATCAATCTTCTTTACTTCAATGCGTTTCATTCTACATATGATGGCTACTAGCTGGGGCACGATTTAAATATATTAGTTCATGGATAAGTAATTGTATGGAATTGATTTTCCTGTCATCTCTGCAAAATCATAGTTCAAAGCTGTAGTAAATTCAGACGAGCAACGTTTGTGCCGCTTCTGATAAATTACTCAATACATTTCATACTTAGGAATAATTTAGGAGTTGTTAAACTACAGGCTATAATTACTACTGCTACAGACTATGGTGTAATTCACTTTTTAATGCGGTACAGACTGGAATTATTTCTACAGACTAGCGTGTAATTCACCTGTTGAGATGATACAGACCATAACGTAATTTACCATTTAATATGCTACTGACTGGAATTATTGGCACAGACTTTATTTATAGCTCCGGACTGGAATTATTGTTGCAGAATAGAAAGAAATTTACCAGTTGATGTTTACTAAAGTTAGTCCTAAAGACCAGTGAGTATTTTACCGGAACATTACTACGTACTGGAGTTAGACCTACAGACTAGTGAGTATTTTACCGGAACATTACTACGTACTGGAGTTAGTCCTACAGACTAGTGAGTATTTTACCTGAACATTCCTACGTACTGGAGTTCGTCCTACAGTCAAGTGAGTATTTTACCTGAACTTCACAACGTACTTGAGTTAGTCCTACAGACTAGTGAGTATTTTACCTGAACTTCACTACGTACTTGAGTTAGTCATTGAGTTAGTCCTACAGTCTAGTGAGTATCTTACCTGAACTTTACTACGTACTTGAGTTAGTCCTACAGTCTAGTGAGTATTTTACCTGAACATTACTACGTACTTGAGTTAGTCCTACAGACTAGTGAGTATTTTACCTGAACATTACTACGTACTTGAGTTAGTCCTACAGACTAGTGAGCATTTTACCTGAACTTTACTACGTACTTGAGTTAGTCCTACAGATTAGTGAGTATTTTACCTGAACATTACTACGTACTTGAGTTAGTCCTACAGACCAGAACGCACTCAGGCTTAAACATTGATGGCCCTGCCTCAGGTTGGCCTCTTGCATCGGCAATCTCCTTGTCAGGACTGCGACCGGCAGCTCATTAGTGAGACACGCGCACAGTCGCAGAGAATAAATGCATACAACTTATTGCATAATATTAAAGCCGGTTGAGCTCTGGAGAGAAAAATACATAGAAATAAACGCATACAACTTATTTCTTAATTT